CACCGCGATCTACACCAACACCTCCACCATCTTCACCAACATCTCCACCACCTTCCCTCATCTATCTATAGTGGTCCTCTCTCCCGCAACCCGCTGTACCCTCTACTTGAACATGGTGCTTTATGCTTCATATTATTATCCAATGATGTGTTGCCATCCTATGATGTCTGAGTAGATTTTTGTTGTCCTATCGGTGGTTGATGAGTTGCTATGATTGATTTAATTTGCTTGTGGTCATGTTGCTGTCCTTTGGTGCCCATCATATGATTGCGCGCGTGGATCACACCCTAGGGTTAGTTGTATGTTGATAGGACTATGTATTGGAGGGCAAGAGTGACAGAAGCTTCAACCTAGCATAGAAATTGATGCATACGGGATTGAAGGGGGACCAATATATCTTAATGCTATGGTTGGATTTTACCTTAATAAACATTAGTAGTTGCGGATGCTTGCTAATAGTTCCAATCATAAGTGCATAGAATTCCAAGTCAGGAATGACATGCTAGCAGTGGCCTCTCCCACATAATACTTGCTATCGGTCTAGTAAAGTAGTCAATTGCTTAGGGGCAATTCCGCAACTCCTACCACCACTTTTACACACTCGCTATATTTACTTTATTGTTTCTTTATCTAAACAGCCCCTACTTTTTATTCACGTCCTCTTTATTATCTTGCAAACCTATCCAACAACACCTACAAAGTACTTCTAGTTTCATAGTTGTTCTAGATAAAGTGAACGTCAAGCGTGCGTAGAGTTGTATCGGTGGTCGATAGAACTTGAGGGAATATTTGTTCTACCTTTAGCTCCTCGTTGGGTTCGACACTCTTACTTATCGTAAACTGTTGCGGTCCCCTATACTTGTGGGTTATCAGCACGCCCTCTGTCCTTGTGCCTGCCTCGTGGCTTCCTTGACTTACACTCCAAGTCCTATGGATGTCTTCTAGTCCAAAAAAATCATCATGAAAGTTTCATTTCGTTTGGACTCCATCTGGTATTCCTTTTCTGCGAAACTCTAATACAAGGAAAAAACAGAAACTGGCACTGGGCTCTAGGTGAATAGGTTAGTCCTAAAAATAATATAAAATAGCATATTAATGCATATAAAACATCCAAAACAGATAATATAATAGCATGGAACAATCAAAAACTATAGATACATTGGAGATGTATCAACGAGCGCCCTAGGAAGAGGGTTCCTGCCAAGGTGATGTGGTATGCTCCTACAATACCACAGTTGAAACGTCTGTTCAGAAACAAAGAGCATGCCAAGTTATTGTGATGGCACAACGAAGACCGTAAGAAGGACGGAATGTTGAGAGTACCCGCTGATGGGTCGCCGTGGAGAAGAATCGAGAGAAAGTGGCCGGAGTTTGCAGATGATGCAAGGAACTTATGGTTTGGTATAAGTGCAGATGACATTAACACTTTTGGGGAGTAGAGCAGCAAGCGTAGCACCTGGCCTGTGACTCTGTATCTATATCCTCCCTCCTTGGTTGTGCATGAAGTGAAAGTTCATTATGATGGCAGTGCTCACCCAAGGTCCTAAGCAACCCAGCAACGACATTGGTATGTACCTAAAGCCATTAGTTGAAAAACTTTTACAGTTGTGGGATATCAAAGGTGTACATGTGTGGGATGAACACAAACATCAGGAATTTGACCTACGAGCGTTGTTGTTTGTAACCATCAATGGTTGGCCTGCTCCTAGTAACCTTTTAGGAGTGACTTACAAGGGATACAATGCATGCACGCACAGTTTAGATGAGACTAAAAGTATATATTTGGACAAATGTAAGAAGAATGTGTACCTGGGACATCATTGATTTCTTCCGGGCAGACATCCGTTCAGAAAGAAAGGCAAGCATTTCAAAGGTGAGGCGGATCGCCGAAAGAAGCCTGTCCCCCGTACTCGTGATGATATATTTGATATGGTCAAGGATTTAAAAGCAATCTTTGGAAAGGGTCCTGACAGACAATCTGTTCCGAATGACCTGACGAACACACACCCATGTGGAAGAAGAAATCTATATCTTGGGATCTACACTATTGGAAATTGCGTGAACCTGCTAGGCTTCTTGGGCGTGTATGGGAAGACAAAAGATACACTGGAGGCACGGGAGGACCAGTAATGTATGAACGAAAAAGGTGGCATGCATCCAAAGCAATATGAAGGTCCTGCCAGCTACGCTCTTACCAAAGCAGAGAAGGAAATATTTTTTGAATGCCTACTCAGTATTAAGGTCCCGTCTGGCTTCTTGTCGAATATAAAGGAAATAATAAATATGGTAGAGAAAAATTTCCAAAACCCAAAGTCTCATGACTGCCACATGATTATGATGCAATTGCTTCCGGTTGCATTGAGGGGGCTTCTACCAGAAAATGTTTGATTAGCCATTGTGAAGCTATGTGCATTCCTCAATGCAATTTCTCATAAGGTAATCAATCCAGAAATCCTACCAAGGTTACAGAATGATTCGGTACAATGTCTTGTCAGTTTCGAGTTGGTGTTCTCACCATTCTTCTTCAATATTATGACACACGTCCTAGTTCACCTAGTCGAGGAGATTGCCATTCTGGGTCCTATATTTCTACACAATATGTTTCCCTTTGAGAGGTTCATGGGAGTCTTCAAAAAATATGTTTGTAACCATGCTAGGCCAGAAGGAAGCATCTCCAAGGGCCATGAAACAGAGGATATTATTGAGTTTGTGTTGACTTTATTCCTGACCTTAAGCCGATTGGTGTTGGCATGAGGGGAGACTTAGTGAAAAAGGCACGTTAGGACCAAAATCAATAATATGTAGGGACGGGCATTCTTGGGCGCAAGCAGACTACACAGTTCTACAAAATTCTACCTTGGTGGCTCCATATATCAATGAATACGAAAATATTGTACGCTCCCAACACTCAGGGCAGTCTGACGACTGGATTACACGTGCACACATGTCGACTTTCGGCGGTTGGTTGCAACCATATCTCATGAATAACACCATAATTGGAGATGAGATGTACTCGTTGTCCAGGACATCATCTTCGACTGTATTGATTTTTCAAGGGTACGAGATAAATGAGAATACATTTTACACGATCGCCCAAGATAAAAAGAGCACCAACCAAAACAGTGTTATCCGCTTTGATGCAACAAAATCAATAGGGAAAAGGACACATATTATGGTTACATAGAGAAGATATGAGAACTTGACTATGAACGTGATTTTAAGGTCCCTTTGTTTCGGTGTAAATGAGTCAATCTTATAGAAGGCGGGGCAATGATAGACCCGCAGTACGGAATGACAACAGTGGATCTCAACAATTTTGGATACACATATGAACCATTCATCCTAACCAATGATGTCAATAGGTCACGGCCCGACGCGAAGAAGTACTCTTCAATAATGCCTCCAAGAAACATCAACCCCCACCAAAGAACAAAGCTTTCGCCCAAAGCGTTATGCCTCGCCACCTCTGACCCAAGGTAGGGCCTAGGCGACGGTGAACCTTGCAAGATCGATCCTCGTGGCAAACGTCGTGAACGAGACCAAGAGGAACCAACGGCCATAATGGCCACACCGCCATGCTTGACTACTTGCATCGATGTCCGCACCACCACCACCACTGCAACGAAGGCACAAACAACACTGGCCGTGCACCACCGCATTGACCCGTTAATAGCAACACGCAGATGCGCCATGGTTGAGGCCCACGCGAGACGATCCAAAGAGTGAGGAGCATGTCTTGTACGACCGGAGGCATGACCACCTACACCATAAGGAGGCACATAACCCAAGTTGCCCGATGGTTCCAATTGACACCACTCCGGCAGGAACATAACACAAACCCAACATCTGATCCATGGCGCCACTATCCGCAGAGCAACCGACCCCATGGCCCAAATCGGGCAATCTCGCGCGCAAACACCACACAGTCACCTTGCCAACCGCGGGACAGAGAACGGTCAACGCCATCATAGACCCGCTGCAGCACGGTGATGGCCCGCAACCACCGGATCCAGGAGCAAGGCCCTGATCCACTGCGACACAACACGCCGCCAAGACTCCACCACGAGGAGAAGGGAAGGATGAGGTTGCCGTCCTAGTGCACCGAAGCGGATGAGGTCTCCGCCGTCGCCTCAATCGATGGAGATGAAGACCGGCGCGAACACTCCCATCCACTATTGGGAGATGGGGACCGCCGCCGCCATGGCACATAGGCAGGCAACATCGGCGGAAGGAGGGGGTGGAGGAGGGCGGTGTGGCCGCTCTAGGGCATGCGCCCCCGGTGATGGAGTCTTGGACTAGGGGTACTCACCACATCATCTTCGAGCCAGTGGGCCGGGCCGATGAGCCCCATGGCGTTTCACTAACGGGCCGCATCCAGAAGACCTGCACAACCTGCACAACGAGGATTCCTGAAGGCTTGGTACACACTCCAAGATCAGAAATTGTGTACACCACAATCTTCTAAATATTTGTAACCCTAGACCCCAGGGTACCTATATAAACCAGGGGTAGGACACGTAGAGGCCATAGACAATCTCGTGGTAGAAACACATTACTTTATACTCCATCCACAATCAATGGAATCCAGTGCAGAACATATGGTATTATCTCTTTGAGGGAGCCCGAATTTGGGTAAAAACCTTGCGTCTCTTGTTACCATCATACTTAGGAGCGCAGCTCGGGACCCTTTACCCGAGATTTGCCAAAATTGACTCCGACACCCGGTGTCGTTGCTGGGGAGCAACATAAGGGGAAGGGGAGTGTGTTACCCCTGTGTGACGAAACGAAATTTAGGGAGGAGGAAGATCCATTCCAAATATTTATAACCTCATTTTTTCGCACAAATGGGAACTTTTTTACTTGACGCATTGTCATTCATCTGAGTATACTTATTTTCATTCTAAATTGACACTAGCCTTTCACTATGATGGACATCACAAGATAATGCTATCTGCATTTGCCCCTTGACATAATTAATCTCGACAGGATCTAATAATAAATCATGGAGGCAACTGTCCGCTGCATGTTGGATTGCATGGATACTCGCAGTCTATCTCTTTCTCTCCTTGGCTCCTTCCATGGTACCAATCTCCTGCGGCCTCTGCAATGCTCTGCTCGACAAAATTGTGATAATCCGAGTAACAACATGGTGGATCAGATGCCACAGGTTCCTCACAAAAGAAATAGATGACATACATAATGTGTTTTACGTTAGATGCCCTACCTTATTTCCAAGCCTCGGGGAGATTTCTGAATTCCAAGAGATGCCATATAGGGATTGGCAGTGAGTGAAGCATGAATCAATGAACAATCCCCAGTCCTCCTTATATTCGACAACCTTGAATGCACCCACCATTGTGTTCCTGAAGCCTAATGACACAGAAGCTGAATATTCAGTGCTTCGTTGCACAGAAAAGGCATTGGTGTTGAATGAGAGAGGAAAAATAAACGGAATGACAAGCTAAGCTAACCATCAAGGACTTTGATTTGTGTGGAATTGCAGTTCCGGATATTATCCTTGCAACTCGACCACGGCTTATCAGGAGCCGATGAAACTGGTACAAGAACATTTCGTATCTGTGGCAAAGATTCAATGATACAACAGTAAGAACTTTAAAAGAGAAGTGGGAAGAAGAATAAGAAGAAAAAACATTCCAAATTACCTGCCATGAATCGTACGCCGAGTTGAGAATAAACATGGGGGTCCGGATGCTCTTAATAAGCTCCGCGGGGAAGAAACACTAGGAGCAACATTATTTCAGTTAACAAACTGACTGTCGTGATCTATTACAGGAGCAAGAATGGCAAGAAAATCAAACTGAACAACGGAAACTACCTCGGTTGGCTCCTTGTTGGTAAGGCAGTCCTTGGGCAACACTTCTCTAACATTCTGAAATAAATTTATCAAATAAAGAAAAAAAACTCAACAGCATTTAGTACAAAGTGGCATTAATCACATGGACAGAAAAATATTGCAGTGTTTATTGATTGTTGCACAATACTAAGCACTTGAAAAATCAGAGTTTTATAAAATTTCTGGTATTCAAATTTTAGACAAGTGCAAAAAAGGACTACAAGATGACCACAAGGCTTGATTATAAAATAAGGCATGCCTTTTAAACTTTGAAGCATGCTAACCTGGAGGTGAACAACGCCATCATAGACAGACCAAAAGGACCTTTTCCCAGAAATATCCTTTCTGTCGAAGAAAAAGGTACTTTAGTTCAAGTGCACTGAAATCATCGCGGTTGGAACAATCCTTAGCTGGTGGGTCACATTTGTTTTCAAGAGTCTTACACGTCAAGAAAAAAACCAGCATCAGCGAGGCATTTAACTGAAACATTGAGAGAAAACCGTGCACTGAAATCATCGCAATGCAGTATCGTGGCTAGACCACCAGCAGAACAGCCTGTGAGGAGGGCCTGAAATGTGTGGAAATATGAGGAATGTCGCATGGTGTTGTTCGCAACAAAATAATCAATGTTGTTGCTGAAAATGACAGAGTAATATGTATGTACTGCCGGTTCATGTTTAAAACTACACGGACTTTCTAAGTTAAGTATGACCTGTGTAGCATTGGCAAGTCCTTTTTCCATGAGTTCGTCAATAACCGCTTGGTAGATGCGCAATCCTCTGAAGTGAAGTGTGCTTCCATCCTACATCATCATGAAACAGAACATTACTTGAAGCAACGAAGACAGCAGCATGAGACCAAGACTCAGAAAATTCACCTGTGCTCGACCTTCCGCGTCCCCAGAAAACGACGCCCCATCACAATACCTCACAAACACTTTGTTCCAGTTGTAGAAATCTGATTACACGCTGATCAAAGTTAGTGGGAAAGACATATCAAACATGTAAAAGAAGTACGATTATGCAAACAAACAGGAAAATGATAATGGAACAAATAGATAGGCATCAGTGATTACCAGGATTTTGCAGCTGGTCACTGCCGAGGATCCCAGCACCGGCAAACCGTATCGGTTTCATGAAATTGGATGAACCGAGCGCGTACATTCTGCGGTTGGAACAATCCTTGATTGTGCTGCACCAGCCTCCACCCTGATTGTTTGTAATTGAAAATAGACAGGTCAGTCAACTATTTCCCTACCTTGAGTCTACCTGCTTTTCTCGATAAAGAACATTTCATTGAATTGATATATCAAGGTGATACAACCGCATCAAAAAAATGCCTGGCCTCTGCATAGCAAGATGCATACAGCCAACAAGTCCAACAAACCCAGAAATAAACATCGTTTTATAGTAAAAAATAAATCAATCTAGCCTAGGGTGCGGCAGTTCCTATCCAGAGATAGAAACTACCTGCTTAACATCCCTATCATGTGGAAGGCATCTTTTTTGATAGAAAAAATTAACAACGAAAAGGCATCTCCTTGTTGGTGGCAACAGAAATTAGGGCCCGGGTCTCTATCTCGAACCATACTTTGGTTATGGAAATTGTACTTTTTTGGTTATCGAAAGTGTATCTTTCGAAAGATCATCCACTACATTTGAGCTTCTTCTTTTGTTTGGTAATTTGAGGGAGACGTGAATAAGAAAAGTAAAATAGCGATACAGTTTATAAGAAAACGGCTCAAGAATGGATGAATCGTGATAATAAGAAGCAACGGGTGATTCATGGGTGGGATGATAGACAGTGCGGTACGAACCTCTAGATGGATGAGCCAGCGGTTGGATCCGTCGCCAGAGCCTCTCTGCAGGTGGTACCCCGGCGGGGTCCCGTCCAAGCACACCGCTCCCTTCTCCTGCGCGCCGGCGAGCAGGGTCAGCGGGACGGTCTCCGGCGGCGGCACGCGGAAAAGCGGCGGACGGAGAGGACCGGAGGCGGAGAGTAGCAGCAGTATCAGAACTGCCGCCGGGAGCCCCCACGCGAGCCAGTCCGGCGGACGCCGGCGCTGCTCCGGGGGCTGGAGGAGGAGCGGCTCGGTTGTCCCCAGCGCCATGGTCGTCGCGTGGCCGGTAAGAGAGAGAGAGAAATGGTTTGATTCCGGCTTATGTTGCTTCCTCTAAAATATTGTTGTAGCCGGCGAGGTGAGGTCTCGTGCACTCCACTCACCACCCGTCCTCTCGTAAGTTGGCGCGAAGCAAAATAATTGCGGAGATATACCCGCCAAATCTTGGAGCTGAAAAGAGCTTTGCTACTACCATTTGGTACAAGCAATAGCACCTTCTACGGTTTTGCTAGATCCAAGTGGCCTCGGATAGATTTCCCTTGCGTACGAATCCATGTCTTCACGTGGGTTGAGATTCTCTCCATGGATATCAAGATCGACACTCAATGGATATCAAGATTAGATCAGAGGGATAGCACCAGCTATGTCATCTCCACATATAAAAAAGTAGTACAAATCAATGTTTTTTGGTCCCCCTCCTTTCCGGTTTATAGGGCTCAATTCAAAAATCTCACCAACCAACGTAGATGATGAGTGGTGGAATAATTTTCGTGGTTTGTAAAAGCACTCAATTAATAAGCTTGTTTTTCTCAAAGAATTGTGTTTACCAATGCATTAATTGCAATGCATGCATGCCTAAAGTATTTCATGCATTGATCAAGTTTCTCATAATCCTTGCATGCAATGAATTAATGCACCTTGAAATCTGAGAATGTGATGGGAACAATCAAATTGAAACTTATAAAACGGGAAACCGAAAATTTTGAGATAAGCCCTATAAACCGGGAAGGAGGGAGTAGACAGCAATACAAAAAGAAGAGGGATCCACAACAACAACTTTTTGTCAGGTGAGAGAGTGAGAGAGGACAGAGGCGTGTTGCATGCACAGAACATTGCATGACCAACCGAAGACTTACGTCTAATTTTTATCATATAATTTTGAATGGCTCATTACTTTTGAACCTATATTCTGATTTCAAAACTTTTTATATACTTGAACTGTTGCAAAGACCTTCAAAACAAGACCGATTCTTTATACAATTTAAACAAGTTCAAAATTCACGGAACATATTTCACTCTCTTGAAATATTTTCGATAAAGTGATTTCCATCACTTTCACAAGTTGACATTTCAGTTTCGTATAAATTTTTTTCAATTTCAGAAGCTACATTTCACTTTGCACTGGGTTATTCAAAAAATCACATGTATTTTAAATGCACACTTTTGAAATAACATATTTCACTCCTTTGTAATAAGCTGTTACACATTTCCAAATATTCACTTCCACATGTTGACATTACATTTCACTTTTCGCTGGCTTGTTTCACAAAAATCACATCTATTTCAATTGCATATTTTTGTAAAAACATAACTATCACTCTTTTGAAATAAACGGTTACCGATTTTCTTTAAATCAGTTTCACATGTTGACATTACATTTTACTTTCTCCTGACTTGTTTCACAAAAATACATCTATTTTAATGAAAACCTTTTCAAATAACATATTTCACTCTTTTGAAACAAACTGTTACACATTACCAAATAATCAGCTTCACATGTTAACATTACATTTCATTTTTCACTGGCTTGTTTCACAAAAATCACATCGATTTCAATTGCATACTTTTGTAAAAACACATTCCACTCTTTTGAAATAAACGGTTACACATTTCCAAAAAATCGATTTCACATGTTGACATTACATTTCACTTTTCCCTAGTTTGTTTCGCAAAAATAACATCTATTTCAATTGCACATTTTTGAAATAACATATTTTACTCTGTTGAAATAAAATGTTACGCATTTCCAATATCAGTTTCACAAATTGACATAACAGAATAACATATTTCACTTTTTTCAAACTAGTCAAAAAGTATCCAAGATTGATCTTGTTCTAAAAGTCTTTGCACCAGAAATTCAAATATATAAAACATTTTGAAAACGAGTTTATAGATTAGAAGATATGAGTGATTTAGATTTTCTAAGGTAAAAGAAAGTCTATGAATTTGTTTGGGAGAGAGAGAAATGATGATGCATGCACATTATAGTGACAAAAACTAGTACTATGGGACCCATCAAAACTAACAGACTAAAAAAATACCAAAAAGTGAGAAAGCAATACAAATAATATCCATGTGCGTGGACCATACCTAGTACGAATCACAAAAAAAGTGGTGTGAGATGTACCGACAAGTACCATTAACGCGCAAAGTGACTTTTTGGGTGTCACCCTATTGGCTAGGCTCACAAGGAGTGAGCTAGCCCACCCGGGCTTGAGTCCCTAGTGGCCGTGATGTTTAGAGATTTCTTATATAAAAATATGCCTCCAAGGGCTAGTCCTGAATGGTCTTGTTTCTTAACTTACAAAGCTAAAGATTTCTTTATCTTTTTCTCAAAACAAAGCTAACTATGAATTGAATTTGTAACAGGTGTATGAATTAATAAATAACACCTCTTTTTCTCTGGGAATTTTCTCTGTTGATTTGGTGCTTGAACTATAAGACAACACCATACAACCAATGAACTAATAGAGGTGATTGGAAAAAGGCTGAAGCCTAGGCTCCACACACTATGTTAATGCATTGCTCGTAGACAATTCCTATTTGGCGCTTTAGGCGCTGGTTACCACTGCTTTTGCAAACCAGCGCCTGAAGCAGCTCACTCGCGCGTCTAGTTGGGCCTGTCCATATTTCTTTTTTTCCTATTTTCTTCAACACGCAAAAAACCTGCAGGTGCATAGGCGTGATTCAAACAACGGCTTCCTGGTAATCAGCACACTACACTAACTAACCTAGCCACATCATCTTTGTGATTACTATAGATTTTCATTTGTTTTCTTATTTCTTTTTTCTTGCAACTATTTTGATCGTTTTTCTATTTCTTTTTCTTGGAATTGGTTCGTTAATTTTTTTCTCTTCTTTCCTTTTTGCCCGTTGCGTGAACATTTTCTTCAAATTTGTGTTTTTTTAATTTCAAAATTGATGAATTTTTCTTCAAGATCGATGAACTTTCTTCCAAATTTGATAACCTTTTTTCAAAATTTCTGATTTTTTTTCGGAATCAAAGATTTTTTTTATAGAATTGATAATGTTTTTTCAAATTTGATAAACTTTTCTCAAGTTTGATTAACTTTGTTTCAAATTTGATGAACGTTTTTAAAATTGGATGAACTTCTTTCAGAATCGATGTACTTTCTTCAAATTCATTTTTTTTCAAATTTGATGAACTTTCTTTCAAATTCGACTGTCCAAGTTTGAGGAACTTTTCCAAAATTGATGAACTTTTTTTTAAATCTGTGAACTTTTTTCAAATTGTGTGCACTATTTTTCAAATTTGATGAAGTTTTTCTTCAAAATTGATGAACTTTCTCCTAATTTTGTGAATATTTTTTCGAACTGGTGAACATCTTTTCAAAATTTTGAATTGTTTTCATGTTCGTGGTTTTATCAAATTTTCAAGTTCGTGGTTTGTTCTATATTTTTGTGAATTCTTTTTGAAGTTTAAGTTTTTGAAAAAATTATACTCGGTGTATATGCAATAGGAAAACGGTCTAGTAGTATTGTTTGCTGTTACTAAACATCAATGTGAGGTTGCTCTAACGGTTAATGCGCGCGCTTACTAGCGCTTAGAGCGCTAAACAAGAGCACCCTTGCTTGCCTATAGGATGATGCACTACCGAGCCGGCCCAGTTTCAGAGTTGTCGGCTCGCATGCTGTGACTAACTTGATCGCTAGGTTCGCTCGACCCCCTTTTTTTTCATTTTTTGTTTAATTTTCTTTTTTATTTGGTTTTCCATCAGTATTCTTTTTTTTACTTTGGTTTCCTTTTTTTCTCGCTTTTCCTGGCATCCAAAAATCTAAATCAAACTCTCCACGCGTCGAGATTCACTCGATGGATATCAAGATTAGCTCAGATGGATAGCACCATCAACGCCATCCCCGTTTTCTCCCCTTTCATGAAAAGTACATATCGACGTCTTTTGGTTTCCCCCCCATCTTTCCATTCTCAATTTACAATGCTAGAGATTTCTCCATTTTGTTTCTCGGAACATAAACTAGCTATGAATTGAAATGTCTGAAAAGTGATCATGAATTAGTAAGATAGCATCTCATCTTTCTGGGAAATTTCTCATGCTAATTTGGTGTCCGAACTATAAATAACTTCAGTGAGAACACTACTACGACCAATCCTTCGTGATGATCGCAAACACATTTCTCGCGTGTTACAAATCGTAATAGGTCTCGCCTATAGTGTGGAGTTACTGAGCTGACCCAACTTTGTAGCTGTGCACAAGTTTTTCACTATTTTGCATCGGTTTCCTTTAGGTTTTCTTTGTTTTTTTTATTCTTTTCTTCCTTTCTTTTCCTTTTTAACACATTCATAATTTTTTCATACATAATTTACATTTTTATATAAAGTAACAATATTTTTATACATGTTTAATATTTTTCAAATACATGATTAACATTTCTTCAAATGTATGTTTTGATGTCTACTTCGTTCATATGCATTCTACATTTTCCATATACATCTAAAACACAGTTTTATATAAATGTAACATTTTTAAGTACATAACTAACATTTTTTTCAAGTACATGTTTTGAACATTTCTATTTTGAATATGTGTTAAACATTTAAATTTTTATGCTGAAACAATATACAAATATATGTTGAAACATTTTTTGAATGATTCAGAATTATTTTCTAAAATTATAAAAATATTTTTTACATTTTATAATTCTTTTTAAATATCACAAATATATTTTTGAAATGCTTGATTTTTTAAAATGTAACATACATTGTTTTTAAATTATACTAAACAATAGTCTTTGAATTATACAAACATTTTCTTACATTTCATAACGTTTTTTTAAAATGCCACTTCCATTTCTTGATACATGTTAACATTTCTGAAATCTCATTTTTTTAATAATACAAACATTACTTAAAAGTGGAGAAAACCTTTTTTTTACAATGTATAGACATTTTGAAAATATGCAATGGACACTTCAAAAAATAACTGAATTATTTTTGCAAGCTATATTAGCTTGCAGAAACGTTTTATATTATGGGACGAAGGGAGTACTTTACAAAATATAAACAGAAGTTAAAAAAAAACATGCATGCCATCAACGTGACAAACCACAAGGTTATTAGGCCACACCACTACTGGCTCCCTGTAGGCGATGTGTTCTTCTATCTCCGATAACTTAAGAAATGGACTTGCCCTTCTTCAGGCTTCCTCACCATTTTGTGTGTGCTCACGCAGGTGGCGCTGCTATGACCCAGGCAACATGCGAAAAATATTGGTGTCATCATGGTTCTATGGGTTTGCACTACCTCCGGGGGAAAACTACGCATTTGGCATTTTTTATCTAATGGTATTTGACATGCTAATTAACAATTTGCTTTTGTTCAATTGATTGAAATGAGAACTATTCTGAAGTTTGAAATATGCTTGATAACTAAAGTAGTGACATATAGAAAATTAAGTTAAAAAGACACGTCCTCCCACACTCCATTCCATCCTCCAAACACAAGCCAACAGAAGCTTCCATTCCCATCCATCCAGATCTCGCCGACTCGCCGCCCCTCCCCATCCCTCCGGCGCGCGCCGACGATGCAGCCGGTGCCAGGGGCCACACCCTCCTCCTCCTCGTTCGGCGACGCCCGGCTCAAGCCCCCTTCCCCTTCCCCCCGCCCTTGGCACTCCCATCTCTCCTAACTCCCTCCTATCCCCTACTCGCCCTCTCACCCAGCTAACCCCTCTGCCCCTCCCCCGGCATTTCTCGACAGCTCGGACCGGACCGGATCTGCTTACTCCGTGGGCTCCGTTCATCGCCGAGTGCTTCCACCCAGCTCTCCTCAGCAGCTCAGGTACTTTACAACCAGGGATCCCTCACAGCATGTGCGATCCTGCCCTGTTTGTTTCTAGTAAGATCGCACAGAATGAGCCGGCCACGATTGTCGGATGTATGAGGCGGAGTGCCAACTAGAGAGTTCACAGAGTATAAAAGGGATGGGGGACTGGGGAGTTCAAGGGCTAGTAAACTCTTCTGCCCAGCAGGATGAATCATCACTGGCCAGAGTTTTTTTCTTCTTCCTCGTAATGCAACAAGTTCCACCCTAGAGAAAGAGTAGAGTGGGTTAATAGATTTGCAGATATCTGTTGTTTAGTTTGATATGATATCTGTTATGATATCACATTCACAGATTTGTTAACCACTGATATGATATCTGTTATTTAGTTTGCGTTGTTGTTTTTGGTATCTGAATCAGTGGAAGTTGACTGGTTGCTATTATCTCTTCTGCCCGTCCTTGACGTAATGTAGTTAATTTGCTCAACAAGTGAGATTCATCATGTGAAGAAACTTGTTTGGTTATGAATTTAACCTTGGCACACAACAAGTTGGTCAGAAATTTGACCAGCCACTGGCACTTCTGGTTGCTTCTTATGACCCGTTGATTATATCTTAGACACATGCAAAGAGATCCCTGTCCACCGTCACACTCCGCTGACGACCATACCTTTATCGATTGATGGTCTGTAGTTTCTATGCATTTCCGCTAATATCTATCTGCCTTCTTGTAGTGACAAGCGACTCCATGGGTGATTTGGCTTGTGATTCTGAAAGAGTGCTCATGGAGGGTCACGGTGCCTCTTCTGTCTGCAAGGATGACATGCTTCTGCTAGAGGAGGCACTTCCTCCAGCTGGGCAGACTCCAGGTTCTTGTGTGGAGCTCCGTCATAACCTGGAGGGAACTCATAAACAAGCAAGGGATGCTGGTTCTTTGGACACTGAAGTTGATATCTCAGGTTCTCCCAGCTCAGGAATAAAGAGAGGCAAAGGAGGTGATGGAAACTCCCATGCAATCTCCAATTACAGTGAACCAAAGTCCTCTTCACCTTATGAGCGCTTGCCGTCCTTTCCGGTGAGTTCAGCATGTTAGATTATGCCGTGATTGCTTCAGCTATGTCGATGCTTTTAGCTTACTCTGTGTGGTATCTTTATGAACGGGGAACGGGTGCTTGAGATCTAGTGCAGCCACTAGCTAAAGGGAAAGTAGGAAGGACACCAGGAAGATGGGTATTCTTGCTATAATATCCGGAAACCGATTTTCATAGGTGAAAAACGTTTAGCAAACTCAAAAGGCAGTGATAATTTCTTGTGGCGTGTCACTAACCTCTCAGCCGTGTTCATGTTGTGAAACATGTTCACCTATCCGCATTGAGAATACGGAAGTTCTAACTGACTTGTTTGATGTGACCATGCCATTTAATGTTCAGTTCCCAGGCCAATTATACTATTTGTTGCGCCTAATGAATTATTTTGGCCAGTTGTCTAGGTTCATCAATCTATGGTGTGAATTTGAATGAGCTAAGCAAACTAAACTTGTAATGTTAAATTGATCATGAAACTGCGCTGAGTAGTTCTGTTCCTACCTGCTATGATGGTGCTGTAGTGGTATTGGTACATTTAAGCTGGGCCTTCACGGTAAGTTGATACTGTAATCGTGGCAGTTTTTCTGATTTATAATACAGTTTTTATCGTTGCCTGACTCACATTCCCTTCCTATTTTCTGTCTAGTCGACGTCAAGGCTTCTCGTCTCCGCTATGAAAGGAGGCCGTGAGAGAAGCAGCGGTGAAGCATCGCCAACTGGAGCCCGCCACGTGAATTGGGCCTCAGATGTATATGACCCCCCAGTCACCTCTGTCGACCACACGGTGAAGGGCCACCAGCAGCGCTCCAGGTCCAGGAAGAAGGACAAGGGCAAGCAGAAACAGAAGCAGAAGAAGAGGAAGTCGCGCGGGAACGGCAAGAAGAGCGGCCTCCACGATGCCGCCCACAACCCGCCTGCTCTCGACGTGCCCGGGTAAGACCACAGACATTTCGTATTACCACCTTCGGTTCCACGCTCCGGGAATCATGCGTGTGAAATCATCGTACGCTGACAGACATTTTCTCCTCAGGCCATCTTCGCCCGACGAACTAGGCTTAGGCGAAGTGGAGGAGGCCGAGGTGCTGGACTACAGCGCCTTCGACAGCCAGGAGCCCAAGTGCGGAGGCGGCTTCCCACACGAGATCGCCGCGGCGCGGACGTGTTTCCCCGCTGCCGAGCCGTCATGAGGGCCGGCGGTGGCCCAGGACCCCGGCCAGACCCCAGAGGAGGTGTAGATAGATACGGTTGGTGTACATAAATAAGAGAAATTCCAGGCTGTGTGAGTGAGATGAGATGAGATGCCCTTTCTATATAAGCTTTTGGCTGGCGTCCTTTATTAGTAAGTAGTGCAGCGTGCTACACGTTGTGTGCTGCTGTTTCGTTTGTAGCCACGGACTGATGAGATCTGCGAATAATTGAATCCCCTTTTGAGGTTGATGCCGAGTCCTTGTGCTAATCTTATCTTGGCTCCAGTGTCATCCATTGCTCATTGGTCTGTGATCAGCAGCAGCAGCATCAGCTGCTCGACATTGCTGGTATCAGGTCACATCAGTCATCAGTGGCAGACTGTTGAGCTAGCTAGCTGGTTACTTAAAGCGGCAAGGCTGGTGTGTGTTCACCATGAGAGGAGGAACGAAGCTCAAATCCACCAGAGCTCACGGCCATGGCCGCTGCCACCGAGCAGCTCCTCCTCCCCCAGGAGCAGCCCCGCCGTCGCCCACCGGTATGGGGGCTCACGGTTGCTGCCCTTCTGCTGGTGCTGCTGCTCGCCGCCACCGGCCCTCTCCGTCCTAGGCTGTTCCGCGCGCCACCGCCAGCAGAGCGCGTCGCGCTTACCCTCCTCTCTGGCGCGAAGGAGAAGGGTGCAGGTACACTATATACTGTATATCTAGATTTCTTCCTTCCAGCCGTTCATCTGGAGTTAATTTGGTCTGGTTTCAGTGTGCGTGGACGGAACACCGCCCGGTTACCACCTGCAGAGGGGCTCCGGCGACGGCGCCGACCGCTGGCTCGTCCATCTAGAGGTACGTACCATACCATCCATCAATTATGCTATAATATTGCTCTGTTTTTTTCCCTTTTCATGAGTTAGGCTCCTAACTTCTGTCGCCATCAAGCACATGCCTCCCAATGTCACCTTTTTCTTTTCTATCAAAAAGGTGGTCTTTAATTAGCAAGTGGACTCAAGGCAGTGCAAATAGTTGATTACTTGACATTCATGCATGTTTTTCCAATAAAAAACGACCATTCAAGGGAGGAGGCTGGTGCAGCACAGTCAAGGAATGTTCGGGCAGCAGACTGTCCACCAAAGGTTCATCCAACTTCATGAAACCGATACGGTTCATGGGTAATGGGATCCTCGGCGGCGATCAGCTACAGAATCCTGGTAACCACTGATGCCTCTCTCTTGTAGTGACCCCTCACTATTTGTTCCACCTCTTTCCATGCCCTTGCGCTAATTTTGGTCGGCGTGTTGACAGATTTCTACAACTGGAACAAAGTCTACGTGCGGTACTGCGATGGGGCGTCGTTTTCTGGGGACGCGGAAGCTCAAGCACAGGTGATTTTTTTTTTCTGAACCTCTGTCTGATGTATGTCGCCGTTTTGGTTGCTCAAAGTAATGTTCTGTTTGTACTTATGTAGGATGGAACCACACTATACTTCAGAGGATTGCGTATCTATGAAGCGGTTATTGATGAACTCATGGAAAAAGGACTCACAAATGCAACACAGGTCATCATACTTAATTTATTGGATTAATATAAAATTAGCAGTGGAAATGAAAAGAACTCATTTTTCTATGCATTTCAGGCCCTCTTTACAGGCTGCTCTGCTGGTGCTCTATCCATGATGCTGCATTGCGATGATTTTCGTGCAAGATTTCCGCAGGAGGTTTCAGTTAAATGCTTTGCAGATGCTGGGTTTTTCCTTGATGAGTAAGGCTCTTGAAAATAAATGTACCACTAGTGTTGCACCTGAACTAAATTACCACTTTTTTTCTGGCAGAAAGGATATATCCGGAAAAAGGTCCCTTTGGTCTCTCTACGACAGAGTCATTCACCTCCAGGTTAGCTGCCGAACATTCTTGAAACTTTAGCAGACATGTCTCATTTATATTCAAGCCTTCTCGTCATCTTCTGATTCTTGTTGTACTTCTCTACAAGAACAAGCTTTCGTAAAACTCTGTTTTCTCATGTGGATAGTCTTGTGCAATATTTTTTTTATCCTAGCGATTGATGCTATTTGGCACAAAATGCCATTGAGATCTTTCCGTCTTCATTTTTTTGCTAAATTTATTTCAGAATGTTAGAAAAGTGTTGCCCAAGGACTGCCTTGCCAACAAGGAGCCAACCGAGGTAGTTTCCATATTATAATTTGGTTTGCATTGGCCTGTCATCAAATTATGTCAGTAAGTTCGTTAGCTGAAATAATGTTTCTCGTAGTGTTTCTTCCCGGCAGAGCTTATCAAGAGCATCCGCACCCCCATGTTTATTCTCAACCCTAGTTATGATTCATGGCAGGTAGTTTTCAATATTTCTTCTTGTTTTTATATCCATGTGCCCGTGTTAGAATTCTCAGTGTCTTGTCCATGATTCTTCGCTAGATACGAAATGTTCTTGTACCTGATTCATCTGCTCCTGGCAAGTCATGGTTGAGTTGCAAGGAAAATATCCGAAACTGCAATTCTACACAAGTTGAAGTCCTCGATGGTTGGCTTAGCCTGTTAATCCATTTCTTTTTTTCCTCCCACCTTCAGCACAAATGGTTTCGGGTTTGTGAAACACTAAATTGTTGTTCTTCTCAATCGATAGGATTAAGGAATAAGATGGTCAATGACTTGAAGGTCGTCGAAGATAAGGAGGACTGGGGCATGTTCATCGATTCATGCTTCACGCACTGCCAATCGCTCTCCGGCGTGTCTTGGCATTCACCAACCTCCCCGAGGCTTGAAAATAAGGCATGGAGTTAAAGAAATGACTACCAAATCACATTGCGTAGCCATGTTATCTTTGGTGCACCATATTCTTGTTGTATTGATATATTTTGGTCACCATCTTTTTGGAGCAGACCATTGCAGAAGCTGTTGGAGACTGGCACTCTGGAAGGAGCCAAGGAGCGAAAGAGATTGACTGCAAGTATCAGTGCAACCCAACATGCAACAGTTTGCCGCCTCCACGAGATGTTACTGCATTTGACCATGTCGAGATCTACTAAGTAAAGGTTCAAGCATATTGTACTGGCCATAAAAATGAAAATAATATTCATCATGAATGAAAATAATCATCATCAGGATATTCAAGTTAGCTTTTCTTTTTGTTTACCGGGATCGTATGGGTTTCAACTCTAGCTTATAACAACTTGTTTGAGACTCAAAAGGCTTTGTTGTTGTATTTTATAGTTAAAGCGCCAAGCCGGTATGTGGAATTTCCGAAAGAAGGAGCGGAGTTGTTTTTCTTAGTTCACCAAACGCTGCTTCAAATTTCAATTCACAGCCAGCTTTCGTCTCAAGAAACAAAAAGGAGAATTCCCTAACATTGTAGGCTGAGAATATAAAAAGGAGTACTCCTTTTACAAATAGGGATGGCGTCTGATCCGATCTTGAATTCTTGATATATATCCATCATGCGAGTGAATCTCGACGCGCGGAGGCATCGATTTAGACGTAAGAAAAATCCGTGCGAGGCCACTTTGATTTAGCAGAACCGCGCGGAAGGTACCATTGCTGAGACATTCAAATGGTGGCAAAGCTCTTTTTAGCTCCAAGATTTGGCGCCAACTTACAGGAGAGGACAAGAGTGCAGTGGAATAGACGAGACATGACCTGACCCGCGACAATATTTTACAAGAAGCAGCGATAGCAGCCGAAATCAAACCATTTTTCTCTTGCCGGCCAACATTTGAATATTTATATTTTAAATATAAATATTGAGGTGAGCTAAGACAAGAAGAAGCAGCAGCGGCCGTAATCAATCAAGCCATTTGTATTCTTCTCTTACCCTCTTGTCCTTGACGGCCATGGCGCCGGGGACAGCCCAGGCCGAGCAGCTCCTCCTCCACCCGGAGCAGCTTTCTGAGCTGTGTACATCATGTTTTTTGTGCAAAACCAGAGACATGCATTTTTTGGAATAAAAATAATAATGACCTTCATGTTTGGAATTCCTTTTACTTTCTTGGAAAAGGCGTAAACATAGATTAAACGGTTGTGCTAAATCTCAGCCGCCAAGTCTCAGTCGACGCGCTGAGCGTTGGATGGACATTGCTTCAAGATTCACGACTGTTACTTGTCTCGTGTCGTTTCAGCCTGCTACGGCGTGATTGGCCTGTTCCTTTTTCTTGGTTTTTTTTTCTCCTTGTGTTGGGCAGGGATACGTGATGCCAAAGAGGGGGCTCTTCTTTATCTGCTAGGCCTTTTTCCTAGGCGTGCAAGAAATCTAGCTTGTGTGTGATTTTGTTTTAGACTCTCTGTATGTGTGTTTGGATATCAGAGGAATCTATCAAGCTATATGTTTTTTTTCTCAATTTGGTGGTGCGTGACCGGCATGTTTCTTTTTCTTGTGCTGTTTTTTTGTTTCTCTGGTGTCGGTCAGGTATGCGCTATGAGCTGGGGTTAAGAGTTTTTTTTCTTATCTGGTTAGAACTTTTTTTCTCGGGCAGCAATTTTTCAGCGGGGGAAACAGACCGCCCGAAGAGGGGGACGGAAGCAGTTGAGAACTATCCGGACAACTATTTGTATCGATTTCTACTGTTTCTTTATATTTTTTCTACAAAAGACTTTCAATATATTTTTCTTTATGTGTTTCTTGTGATGTTAATTTTTTACTTGTATTTTTAGCATTTTCTTGTTTCCCTTTTCCTCTTCTCTTTTGATTGCTCTTTTCAATTTTTTTTGCTAATAGCACGATTCTTGCTACTTTTGGTTTTTTTTATTAAACAACAACTTGTAATTTTGAAAATTGAAAATATTGTTGTATGGTTGGACAATCACCTCGAATGCAACTATATGTCTTCAACGTGACTCTAACTCGGTGGTGTTTCTTAGGGAGGAGGAGAGTTGCATGTCTACCACTAGTTACGCAACTGCAACTATCGTGTCCCAACCGCAACTGCATATCTTTGACGTGACTGCAACTCTGTGATGTTTTGTTCGGGGAAGGGCCAATTGCATGTCTGTCACTGGGCATGCAACTGCAAGTGTTGCCCTCGACTGCAGCTCTATGGTGTTTTGTCGCGAGAACAGTTGCTTGTCTGTCGATAGGCATGCAACTGCAAGTGTCACCCCCGACTGCAATGGCATGTCTTCAGCGTGATTGTAATATATGGTGTTTCGCAACTGCAAGTGTCACCCTTG